TCCCGCCCATCGCCCAGGCTGAGGGCGGACCCAATGTTTCGCTTGACGCCCGAGGCTGGCACTCAAGACTGACGCCCAGCGGCCAGGCCTGGGGGCAGAGGCCAAACCCGCCACCCAGCCCTGAGAGTGGGCGCCCGGGAGGGACTCCTGGGAGATTCCACCGTCCCCCGGGTCACCGTTTGCGGTTCTGCTCCTCCTCCCCAGCTCTTCCTCTTCCTCCAGGAAGCCTGCCTTGACTCCAGGCCCCAAATCCCAGGTGGAGGGAGGGTAGGACCCTAGAAAGGTGCCTCTCACTTGGAAGCTCATGGAAACCCAGAGGAGGAGGGCCAGGAGGCTACCACACCCAGACCTTTCCCCACCCGGGCCTCAGCTTCCCACCTAGGCCCGAGGGTAGGCACAATCCACCAAGAGGCCCAAACGTTGGCACAAAGAGGTTTTATTTTATTATAAAAAGTTCTGCTGGCTAAGGGGAGCCAGAGAGGTGGGGCCGGGGCCTCTGACTAGCCAGGGAGGGGGTGGGGCAGGATGGGGCCCAGAAGCCAGAGGGGGCCCAGCAACGGCTGGCTTTCCTGTGTTGTGCTTGCATAAAAAGCACCCCCCTCCGTTGTATGGGGGGCAGTGCTCACCCGGAGTTCAAGCCAGGGTTGGGCCAAGCCCGAGCCCTAACAGATGGAATAGGTAAGTGTGCTGCCCCCTGATGCCCTAGTGCCCCTCATGTACACAGACCGCCCCCCAAGACCCCACATATACACAGGCCTCCCTAGACCCCTCATATACACAGACCGCCCCCCCAGGATCCCTCATATACAGGGGCCTCCCCGGGCCCCTCATATACACAAGCCTCCCAGGACCCCACATATACACAGGCCTCCCTAGACCCCTCATATACACAGACCCCCCCCCCAGGATCCCTCATATACAGGGGCCACCCCAGGCCACTCATATACACAGGCCTTCCTGGGCCCTTTATATACACAGACCCCCCAGTGTCCCACATATACAAGGCCTCCCAGGACCCCTCATATACACAGGCCTCCCGGGACTCCTCATATACACAGGCTTCCCAGGACCCCTCACATACACCCACATACATGTGAGCCTTCTTACACCCCTCATATACAGGGGCCACCCCAGGCCACTCATATACACAGGCCTTCCTGGGCCCTTTATATACACAGACCCCCCAGTGTCCCACATATACAAGGCCTCCCAGGACCCCTCATATACACAGGCCTCCCGGGACTCCTCATATACACAGGCTTCCCAGGACCCCTCACATACACCCACATACATGTGAGCCTTCTTACACCCCCCTCCACACACACACACACACACACATGGCCGTGAGCAGGGTGGAGGCGGCGGTGGCGGCTGAGGCCCTGCCTGGTGCCAGCAGCAGCTCCGGGTCCCTTACACGTCCGTGCTCCTGAGGCTGGAGCTGGAGGCAGGAGTGGCCCGCAGGCCCAGGCCCGGCCCCCACATCTGCCTGGGCCCCCCGCACAGCTTGCCCAGGAGCACCTTGTACTTCTGCTCCAAGACCCTGTTCTTCACCGACTGCGGCACGTCCGGCACGAACCAGGCCGCCACCAGCTTGATGCACAGGGCCACGTGCTGCGGGCGGGGAGGGGCTGAGTGGAGAGGTCAAGCAGGCGGGGGGGGGGCAGGGAGGAGGACCCCCCAGTTCTGCCCACCTCGAAGAGGATGAGGAAGGCCAGGCGGATGGCCAGGAGGATCCAGAACTGTTCCGAGAAGTTGTAGTCCTGAGCGTTGCGGTAGTCCCGGTACCTGGGGTGGGGGCAAGACCTAAGGTCAGGGGTCAAGAGTTCAGAGGGCACACGTGGGGAGGCCGGGGGGGTCCAAACCTGCATTCAGTGATGTTCTCTGAGCCCTTGATCTTGACCGGGTCCTCGAAGTCCTTGGTGTGGAACACGGACAGACTGTGGTTGATGTAGCCAGTGAGGCAGCTGGCGGGAGGGGGAGAGGAGACGGGCCTGGGCTGCAGGGGGTGTGGGGGCTTCCCTAGAGCTGACTCCTGTCTGGTGGGTCACCACAGACCCCTCCTCATTCCTCCACGTGGTTGAGGGCCCCTGGGGGAGGCCGAAGGGGCTCCGGATGCCACCACCTGCCTCCCCTGCCCAGGGCTGAGGGGAGCCTTAGGTGGGACTCTTGTGCCGGGCAGGGCACGGAGGGTCTGCCTTTGGGGGGCAGGGGTTCAGTGCCTGCTCAGGACACAGCTGGTTCTGGGACCTAAATCCCCCACTGGGGTCCCGGTCAGCACTCCTGGCTCCGGCCCCGGGGCTGCAGGGCAGGGCAGAGGCAGTACGGGCAGCACTGAGCCCTTCCCCGGGCTCCCTTGCTGAGCTGTGGTTGGGCCATTTTCCCAGGGGTCTCTGGGCAGTTTGAGCCCCCCAGGGGCTGTGTGGCCGCGCCCCTTACTCGACTGAAGAGCGTGCGCCCTGCCGGCACGGGCCGTAGCGGTACTTGTAGACCACTCTGGGGATGAACTCGGACGTGAAGGCGATGACCATCCCGTTGGCAATGACCGCCAGCACGCCAATGGTCTCTAGCACCTGCAGCCAGGTCCCTGGGCCAAGCAGTGGGGAGAGGCTGTCTGGTTCCTGCAGCCGTAACCACTGCTGCTGCCTGCCCCACCTCCATCCATCCCCCACCGTCCATCCCCCACCGTCCATCCCCCAAGCCAAGAGCCTGGATAGTCGGGGGGCCTCGTCCCATCTCTGGGAACGGCACCCATGGCAGCCACCGGGCCAGACCCCGCGAGGAGACCTGGGCCAAGGCCTACAGCCCGGCCTTCGCTCTCCTGACCCCCCGTCCTGGGCATAGACGGGAAGGGGCTCAGGTCTCCCTGCCTCCCTTGTCTGTCTGACGCCCTCAGCTGCCCCCAAGCCTGCTCAGCCCCCTGGGTCCCCTGCGCCCAGGACTCGGGCCTCTCTCACACATGTCCCTCCCTCCGCCCGCTGCCCGCTTCCCGCCCCCAGCTCTCTGTCCACCCCGACTCCTGCCCGGCTCAGTGCGCCAGTCTGGGCCACCTGCCCTCAGTCCCTGCCACTGCTGCTGTGCCCCTCCCTCCAGCTGCTCCTGTTGTCTGCTGGGCGCCCCAAGGAGGCTGCGGGCCCTTCAGCCAGATCTGCAAGGTGGGTGCCAGCCCTGCCCCTTCCCGGGGCCTGACCCGCATCTTGGCTGACATCCCAGGAAGGCCCGGGGGCTGTCT